GTTCACCACCTCGTGGCTAGTCCAGTTCCCCGAGAGACTCTCTCGAAGCTACCACTACTTCCGTTAAGCTTACGGGTGCTTAACAAACCGTTTACAACTCGAGAACTTGAATCCCACAAGCCTCGACACAACCGCTCGTAGATATGCCCTCTACAAGACTTCACAACCAAGACTTAAGTCACATAAGTCTTGAACAACAAGAAGAACAATCTTCTTCATCCTCTCAACAATAGCTCTCAAAAGAGTAGGAATGAGAAAATGTTTAGCTCTAATGGATGACAAGAAACCTCTCTTAAAAACAAATAATTTTCTCTCAAAATGATATAAATTTGAGGAAAGATTGATGGAGGATTAACACCTCAAGAATGAGAAGTATTGGAGTGTTTCTTGTTATGAAAAAATGACCAAGGAAGTGTGTTTAAATAGGAGGTGAAGAAATATATCCGTTGGTCCAAGAAAAGAAGCTGGGATGAAAAATGCAGCATAATAATCGATTAATGCACCTGAAAGAAAATCGATTAAATTAAACGGATTAATCGATTAGAATGCTCTGTGTGAACTAATCGATTAAAGGCAGGAGGAAAATCGATTAGACCAAGGACGAAAACAATCCTTCGCAAGGCAAAACTAGATTAATCGATTAATCAAGAGAATTTAATCGATTAACTGGGTAAAATCGATTAAGGTGAGAAACTTAATCGATTAGATGCGAAATGATTCACAAACACAAAGGGCCCAAGCCAGTTGCGATTGAAAGTAAATTGGATGAATACTCGTTGTTTGAGACAATGGGAATCAGGCAGCAACGCTCCTCAAAAAAAATATCCTATTCAATGAATTTGAATAAGGGAGTAAAAGTGAGTCCAAAAATTATTTTGTGTGTCAAACGATGTACACGAAAAATATTTGAATAAAATATTTTTGCTTTCCAAAAATATTTTCTAATATCAAAATAAATATTTTGATAAATGTTTGACACACCTTTTGTAACTGACTTAATAAAACTATTTTGAACAGTTAAAAAGATTTTTCAACTAACTCCAAAAATAAATATAATTTTTATTTTAACTCTCATAAAAATAATTTTGGAGAGAAGATATTTTTTTCATCCTTACAATTATTCCTACGACTCAAATAAATAAAAAGTCTTCGGAAATCTTCTACTCCTCCGAGTCCTCCGTTAGGCACTCTGAACGCGTCTCGGACTTCAACAAAATCCTGTGCACCTTCTTGAATACTTCAAGGAATGGCACTTCAAGTCTTCGTGTTTGTCGTTGTAGCACTTTTAATCTTGACTTGAATAAATTGTGTTTGTCAATTATCAAAACCTGTGAGTCAACACTAAACAACACAGAAAGGGTTGAACTCATGCATTCCAACAATTTTCCCCTTTTTGATAATGACAAACACATGGAGGATATGCTACCAACAAATAACAAATTAAAGCATATACTCCTATACTCTTCCCCCTTTTGGCATTATCAAAAATAATGCAACAAAAGAACTCATGCATTCCGGGGACAGAAAAAAAGTTCTAAATAATTAAGAAAAATCACATTCCCCTAAAATCATGCATTTCTAGGAAATGAAGTACTTCCCCCTTAAAGTATGCTACCCCTTAAAAATAAGGCATACAAAAAGATTAACACATATAGCAAAAAAAATATTCCCCCTTACTATATGCAAAACATCCTATATAAATTCTCAAATAAATAACAATTATCACAAATAAATCTCAAAGATAACATTTAATTTAAAAAAATAGTATTTACTCCCCTTTGATGCAATCTCTTTGGCTAAGTGCTTGGAGCATCCACTACAAATTTGTAGTCTTCAAGCACACCTTTTAAGTGCGTCACGTACCCGACCACCCATGTTGTTCTTCAAGAGCGATGAGGCAATCGTCTTTGGAAGGTTGATCATACTTCCATGAAAAATACGCGAATTCATCTTGTTTGCTCATCTTCTTGAGCTTCGGGCACTCAAATTTTCGGTGGCCAAGCTTTCCGCACTTGTGACATTTTGGAGTGTTTTTCCTCTTGCTCTTGTTTAGCTCATGTTTCAAAAACTCATTAAAACATTCAACCAAAATATCACAGGAAGTGCTAGAATCACTATCACTATCACTATCTGAATCCGAATCACCAATCTCTACTTTTTGAGAAGAAGATGCTTTAAAAGCAATTCTTGTTCTCTTCTTAACGTCAAGAGTATGAGAAAGATGATTTGTTTCGTAAGTGATAAGGTTACCTCGAAGACCGTCGTATGTGATGACGTTGTAATCTCGGCCTTCGTAAATGGAGTTAACCTTCGACTCCCATTCCTTGGTAAGACTTCGCAGAATTTTTCTCACTAACTCTTTGTCGGTGAGCGTCTTTCCAAGCATATCAAGGTCATTGACGATGTTTGAAAATCTTCCAAACATGTCCTCCACAAGTTCGTTCTCTTTCATAGCAAATAACTCATATTCATGGGTTAGTAAATCAATTTTCGATTCACGAACTTGAGGCGTACCTTCGTATGTGATCATGAGCTTGTTCCACATTTGGTTGGTGGTTTGGCAACGAGATATCTTTTGATAATCGTTGGCATTGACAGCACAATACAAGAAGTTGATGGCGGTGGCATTCAATTGAGCCTTCTTAAGATCGGCTTCATCATATTCATCCTCGTCCTTCGGGATGAGAGTATCGCCTATCTTCTTCATTGGCAAGCTATCTCCATTCTTGATAGCAAGCCAAATATTGAAGTTATTAGATTGAACAAAAATTCTCATACGCTCCTTCCAATAGGAGTAATTCGTTCCATCAAAAAATGGCGGCCTTACGGTGGATTGCCCTTCTCCTATCCCTGCGTTCAACATTCTCAAAAAAAATTGATCGTTTTCTCAAACGTCACAAGGAGCGTTAGAGATACCTGCTCCGATACCAATTGTTAGACAAGGCGTGCAACTCTAGAGGGGGGGGTGAATAGAGTTGTTGAGAATGATTACCGATTTTCGCAGGATTAATAATATAAACGTAAGTGCAGCGGAAATAAAAGAGGAAAGGCAAAGAACACACCGATGTATACTAGTTCACCACCTCGTGGCTAGTCCAGTTCCCCGAGAGACTCTCTCGAAGCTACCACTACTTCCGTTAAGCTTACGGGTGCTTAACAAACCGTTTACAACTCGAGAACTTGAATCCCACAAGCCTCGACACAACCGCTCGTAGATATGCCCTCTACAAGACGTCACAACCAAGACTTAATTCACATAAGTCTTGAACAACAAGAAGAACAATCTTCTTCAACCTCTCAACAATAGCTCTCAAAAGAGTAGGAATGAGAAAATGTTTAGCTCTAATGGATGACAAGAAACCTCTCTTAAAAACAAATAATTTTCTCTCAAAATGATATAAATTTGAGGAAAGATGGATGGAGGATTAACACCTCAAGAATGAGAAGTATTGGAGTGTTTCTTGTTATGAAAAAATGACCAAGGAAGTGTGTTTAAATAGGAGGTGAAGAAATATATCCGTTGGTCCAAGAAAAGAAGCTGGATGAAAAATGCAGCATAATAATCGATTAATGCACCTGAAAGAAAATCGATTAAATTAAACGGATTAATCGATTAGAATGCTCTGTGTGAACTAATCGATTAAAGGCAGGAGGAAAATCGATTAGACCAAGGACCAAAACAATCCTTCGCAAGGCAAAACTAGATTAATCGATTAATCAAGAGAATTTAATCGATTAACTGGGTAAAATCGATTAAGGTGAGAAACTTAATCGATTAGATGCGAAATGATTCACAAACACAAAGGGCCCAAGCCAGTTGCGATTGAAAGTAACTGACTTAATAAAACTATTCTGAACAGTTAAAAAGATTTTTCAACTAACTCCAAAAATAAATATAATTTTTATTTTAACTCTCATAAAAATAATTTTGGAGAGAAGATATTTTTGTCATCCTTACAATTATTCCTACGACTCAAATAAATAAAAAGTCTTCGGAAATCTTCTACTCCTCTGAGTCCTCCGTTAGGCGCTCCGAACGCGTCTCGGACTTCAACAAAATCCTGTGCACCTTCTTGAATACTTCAAGGAATGGCACTTCAAGTCTTCGTGTTTGTCGTTGTAGCACTTTTAATCTTGACTTGAATAAATTGTGTTTGTCAATTATCAAAACCTGTGAGTCAACACTAAACAACACAGAAAGGGTTGAACTCATGCATTCCAACAATATATATATACATATATATAGATATACATACATACATACATACATACATATATATATATATATATATATATATATATATATATATATATATATATAAGAGCATTCATATTAGGAAGTATTCTCTAGATACTCTCCTCTCTACCCTTTAAAAATTAGAAGAGAAACATGTGGGTGTAGAGAAAAAAGGCTAAAGAGTATGGGTAGAAAAATAAAATATTCCGTATTTATTATAAGATGAGTTCTACCTTTCCTATTGAACTCTCAGGAGCATGGCTCATTATAGGTAAATTCATATTATGCTGCATATTATTTTTCCTTTTTTTTGTAATTAAAAAAATGTGCTTTCATTCCAATTTTTTTAATCTAAACTTATTTTAGAATAGCTATGAATTTCTAATGTGAAGATTCTAAATATTGGGTAATCACAGAGCATGTTTTTCATAGTTTTCAAGAAAATATTTTATTTTATATATAAGAAGCTCATGAAAAATATACCTTCTAGGATGAACACGATTTTGAGATTATAAGCAAATTCGTGCTGATAGGGGTGTTATAAAGTGTAAGAAAAATACTCAAAAATTATGAAGATAAATATGATGTATTTCTAATTTCTTCTCTATTATATTAATTCTTCACTCTTCTTCTTGTTCATAATGGTGATTACAATGCAGGAATTAGACATCTATTTATAGTGGAGAGGTTTAATATGAATACCAATACAAATGCAATATAAATACATCTATAAGTGGGGGAAACTGTGCATTTTGCTGCTATAATTAATATGTTATTTAGACATCTAGAAAAGATAATGTAATTAGGGAGAAAGACCAAAGTATGACTAAAACATTGAAAATATACCAAAATAGGACTTCCATTTATTTATTCTCAAAGTAGGACTTAAAATGCATTTACATTACCAAACATGGTCGTGTACATTACCAAAAAGTATAGTAATGTGCACATGTACAGTGCCACATTACAACCACATTACCACAGTGTGAAGTCCTATTTTGGGGAAAAAAAATATGAAAATCCTATTTTGATACTTCTCTCTATTTTTAGTCCTATTTAGAGTGATTTCTAATGCAATTATTTGAATAATGAATTATTCACTGATTTCATAACCGAAGGATTATAGAAGTAATGCCCCATTCTACACTCCAAGCTATAGAAACAAACATAAAATTGAAGCCATCATTAGGCATTTAGGCATATTGTATGTCTCTAATTCTATGAAGCTTGAGGTTTTGAGCACTGAAAACGATCACAAAGCAAAATAATTTGTTATACCCTGGATGTCTCCACCAAAATCCCAACCCCTCCCAACATATCCAAAAGTCTTTTATCTTTTCTTTTATCCCAAAATAAAGCCTTTGCCATCTATTTTATTCCTTGGTCAATAATAAGAAACCAAAATCTTTTGTTTGTTGTTATTTCCCTTCTTTTAATAAACAAATAAAACCTTCTCTCCCTTCCTTTGAATCCCTGGCCAAATATCCCTCTCACTCCCAACAAAACACCCACAAAAGGCCAAAAACCTGACCCACCACTAGCCACTCAATCCTGCCCATATTCCCTCACAAATAACCCAAACCTATAGGTCCAAAAACCACCCATTATATCCCCCATCCCTGCCCCCTTTTTTAGCCAAAAAACAACCCCTATTTTTACTTAAATAATAGCCAAAAAAACCCAGGAAACAACCACAAGGAACCAAAACACAAACCCCCACAACACCAGCCCCATCCCTGAATTTTATCCCACTAAGGAGACAGGTTTGAATGAAGAATGCCCCATGCTTTGAGAGAGGATGTTGCTAGGAAGCTTCCTCATGTCTACATTCAATGTATTTTGTATTTCCCCCTTCCCTTCTCCCTATATAATCAGGCCCTATGGCCATTGTAAACATAACTTTGAATATTAAAAACTCCTATTACTCTTTGAGTATTTATAAAATAGTGTGATGCTATTTTAGCCAAATTCCTAATTCTATATCTTAAGAGTGGTTATCTTAAGTGTGAGTTTTAGGTTCTAGATATTTGATTAAGTGTGTCATATCTTAATTAAATTCTAGATTCAAACCCCAAGTGAGGATAAGAGTGTGTAATATCTCTTAAACACCAACTTGGTTTATCCATCACTCATTTCTTCCATTCCATATCTCCCCATTTCTCCTCTTAATCTTACTCTTTTCTTCCATTAAAAACANTTACTCTTTGAGTATTTATAAAATAGTGTGATGCTATTTTAGCCAAATTCCTAATTCTATATCTTAAGAGTGGTTATCTTAAGTGTGAGTTTTAGGTTCTAGATATTTGATTAAGTGTGTCATATCTTAATTAAATTCTAGATTCAAACCCCAAGTGAGGATAAGAGTGTGTAATATCTCTTAAACACCAACTTGGTTTATCCATCACTCATTTCTTCCATTCCATATCTCCCCATTTCTCCTCTTAATCTTACTCTTTTCTTCCATTAAAAAACACCCAAAAGAACTCCTTTATCATCTCCATATATTTCCAAGCCATTTCCCCATAAAACACTCTTTTTCCTGCCCAGAATTCTGCCCAACAATCGATTATCTTGATTGACAATCGATTATCCATCATCGTTGAAACACCTGCAGCCTTCAATAATCGACTGTCCACTTTAGACAATCGATTATCACTTCCTCTTGAAATCATGCAGTCTCTAACAGTCGATTATCACTCTTTGTCAGTCGACTATCTTCCCCTTGGAATAAGCTGCGAGCCTCAATAATCGATTATCATATACTGGTAATCGACTATTCGCTTTCCCTGGAGTTTCTGGGTTTCAGCCACCCAGCTCCACAATCGATTATCACCTGGCCATAATCGATTATCACCTGCTCCTGAACCTTGAACTCAAGCTACATCATCCCTTGATTCCTCCTTAAAATAACAACTCGTTAAGACCCCTGGTTCGGGTATAACATAATTCTTAACATATCTTCAATCCTCAAAGGCCAAGAAGAAAACCTCAAAGTAATCTCATGCTGCAAAACTTGTAAAAACTCCCTACATCGTTCCAAAGCACATCTCAAAATTTAAATTGAATCTTAAGGTTGTGGTATCTTGAGTCTTCGGAAATCTTATACACCTACAATATTATGTTGTAAATCCTTTTTAGGGGTCTTATTATTTTCATATAACTTCAAAAAAATTAATTGTCCTAAAAAAATAGGGAGTATTATATTCATAAAAAATGGGCTCTCTAACAGAATTAGAAATAAAAAAAAAATCAACCTTAAATCGCAATTGCCCGGAGTACTAAATGAAATAACTTTAAAATCTAATAAAAAGATAATAGCATGATTGGAATAAGATAAAGATCCAAAGGTCTAGGGTTTACCCCCTTGCTGCCATGGACGGGAGGTGTTGCTGGCCCTGGCCAAGCCACCTTGATTGCCATCTTCTGATAAAAGTCCTAGCCCGCTCTATCTAAGGCATGTCAATCTTTATACTGTGGTCTGTTGGGTTGATTCTATGCTAGCGATGATGATTGTCCTAAATTCTATATCCCAACAGAATCCTTGTGGCTAGAGAACTAAAAATATTAGGACTTTTTTTCTTCTCCTTTTGTAAAGAGTAGGACGATGTCCAGTTTTATTTTGTTCGGCTTTTGAATATAATGCTATAGGAAAGGAAGAATTACAAAACCCGTGATCAAGTATTAATACTTGGGCAAATAATTAATAATCGTTACATCCTATGTAAGATTCTGACTAATGTTGGCAAAGAATACTTAACAAAGATGGCTGATTGTGTGGAGAATTTTGACAATGGATTTCGTAACTGAACTTTTTATTTTTTTGGATGTAACTGGACTTTTTATAATATGGTTGATATAAATTGATTCTCAATCTCGTGCAAGGTCTTCGACTCTTCTCATACTCATACATGGGGTATGGTTCCCTCGTTCCCCTTCGACCAACTTGGCATCTCGTCAACATTTTCTTTCATTTTCCTTTCTCTTTAAAAACACAATCTGCTGTAGCACACGCTTAATGATTTCCAGAACTAAAAACACAAAATACATTTAAATAATAAAAATTTTAAAATTGGACAATAAAAATTTAAATATAAAATTAAGAACTGAAAAATTAAAATTAAGAAAATCATATTTTAAAAAAATTGAAACAACATTACCTCAGAGCCTCAACAGCTCCCGCCCATTGCAGGGTAAAGGGGATCGAATGTGCACACTCTGACATCTATGTTTAAAACATAAAACAACTATTTCCAGATGACCCATAATGGAAACTTAAAAACTTAAAAATAATTAAAAACTAAAAATAAAAAAAAGAAATGAAGCAACCAAAAAAGAAGGAAGAAAGAGCAAAACAAGATACAAAAAGAAAGAAAGCAAAGAAAGATGCGGGAAAAAAATAAAGGCAAGAAGCCGGAGAACGGGAGGGGAACCCGCTCTTCCTGTTCCCGCTGGGGTGGGGGGAGGCAGTGTTCCCCTCCGTCCAGCGTGCCATGCAGCCTTTCCTGCTGGGTTCCCGTCGCCCATCACCCCCCCCCCCCCCCCAATGGCCTAAGGGCTTCATGAAGTGATGAAACAGGGAGCACCAAGACATTAACCTTAGGTTTAGTTTGGTATGACATTGATTAGGAGTAATAAATTTGATTACATTTTCTTACTAAACCTTATTAGCCCTACACGTTGACAAAACCATCTGGGCAACCCTCGCATTTTGACATTCCAGAACGATGAAGATAATAGGAGGAGACAAAGGAGCAGATAAAAGATGAAAACCCACGTTCAAAAATGCCAAGGTTCTATCCAAAGTAATGTATTCACACGAGGATCATCTTGAATGAAAATTAAGGGGGGAAAAAGGAGCTGAGCTACAAAACAAAC